GTCCATAGTTGGCTGGCTCTAAAGCAGAAATGTGGTAGGAGAGAGTGGAGGAAGGAAATTGCTTATGGCACATCAGCCAGGAAGGAGAGAGAGAGAGAGAGAGAGAGAGAGAGAGAGAGAGAGAGAGAGAGAGAGAGAGAGACAGAGACAGAGACAGAAACAGAGACAGAGAGAGACAGATGAGACAGACAGAGACAGAGACAGACAGAGAGACAGACAGAGACAGACAGAGACAGAGAGAGAGAGACAGACAGAGAGACAGAGACAGAGAGAGACAGAGACACAGACACAGAGAGACAGAGAAAGAGAGAGAGAATGTTATTTAAACATTCATTGTATATTTTAATCCCCCCACCCCATACTCATGTCACCTCATAGAATCCGAAGAGAACACTGAAGATAACGCCCTGTGTATGTCACCTGGGGTTAGGAAAACTCAAAAGAGAACAGTGAAAGTAAAAAATTTGTCCCTTTGGGAGTGGGTTTATGGATAAATGTGATTTCAGGCTAAAAGAAAGAGAAATTTGAAGAGAGGAGAAGAGAGAAGAAGAAAGGAAAGGAATGGGAGGGGAAGAAAGGGGACAGGAGGGGAGAAGAGGGCCTGGGGACAGAATTTACTCTTCAAAGTCATATCCTCATTTCCTGCTTCAGATGAACCCCACCTCCAAATAATCCATTAAGTTAACTCAACAAAATATTGACCCATGATGGAGTTAGCACCCTCATGACCCAGTTGCTTTCCAACTCCCGCACTCCCAATAAGTGGAATTTTGGGGGGATGTTTTCCATTCAAACCATAACGTTTGTCAAGAATAAATGGGCTTCATATTTGCAGGGAATATTATCTCAAGGACTCCTGACTTCTCACTTAAAACCTGTAGTGTTATCTGGTAGAAAGTTAGTGATTGCAAGTAGGATCCAGCAATTGGTGACGCTCTCTGCTCCACATTCATAATACTGTATTCGCAGGTATGCTCCAGAAGTTCCTTCTGGCTGAATGATCCAGAATCACAGGACCTGTGTATTTTTCTAGAAGCCAAATTGCATTTTACCATCCTTCTTTCTCCTCTCCCTTTCCTTTCTCTCCTTTTCTACATATTTTGAAGACAACATTTTGCTGACGTGCAGTGAATGGAAGGGAGCTACCACCCTGGACACCTTCCAGCCACACTGCAACACGCAAACTTGCTGCCGCAGTTCTGAGGAGAGCCCTGATGCCACCGTTACAGATTGGTCCCTTTTACTTCTAAAATGCCTAAGAAGGCAGCACCCAGATCCCTTGTATATGAGAGGTAAGATTTAGCAGGCGGTAGGAAGTTGACGAATAAAATCAGTTAAAGCTTCACAGCATTTGTTGGTGACCTCCCAAGCTGCCATACAAGAATTTAGCTTTCCCAGTTTTGGTTTGGGATCCACATTTCCAAGGAAACTAGGCTAAGCTAGTCGGTGTATCCGCATTCTCTTCTAGGGGCTCACTAGAAGTAAACGAGCAACTTTAATTAACTCAAAAAAAAGTTCTTAGGGCATTATCTGGAAATGCTAGGAATGCATGTAGCTACTATCAGCCATCCTGCAACTAGAAGTTTCATAGGATAAACTCAATTTCATAGAAAATAAAACAGAGATACAGAAGAAATCAGGACCTTTTTGATATCTACACTGCTGGATTGGGCCTCAATTCAACCCAGACCAATACCTGGGCTTATGGGTTGTATTGAGACAATAAACTTCTTTTATTGTTAAAGCTTACTTGACCTGGTATTTCTGGTATATATAAAGCCCTGTATTATAAATTTTATTAATATAAGTTCATTAATGTGTGGTCAGGGTTGAGGAGGATCCACATATAAACTGTAAGAGCATTCAATTTATGTTCAAATGCACTGAAATGCTCTTTGAAGGCTCTGCGGGGTCTAAGACATACCCTTAATTTGTTCTTCTAATTAGAAAAGGAAGGCATTTGAAACCTAAAAAATAATGCAGCTGTCTTTCAGTGGAATACTTTCAAAAGAGGAGCTTCATGGGGAAGGCAAGATTCAGGGACAAGCACGTAGGGAGCAGGTGGATGAAGAAGACAAAAACAAAGGTAGCATCAGTATGAGTCCAGAAGCTCAGGACCCTGAACTTCCTTTAGGCCTCATGCTCTGCAAAGTTGCAGCCCTGGCCAGTTTGACTTTGTATAGAACTCCAAATAGCTCCCGGTGATACAATAGTAATAAACTGAAATTGACCCTTTTTACTAAGAAAAACAATATAGGCTCTGCTCTGGTATGCTTTATCACTTTCTCATATGCAGAAGTCTGGTGAAATTCAGCTGTCTTAGTCTCTTGCTCTCAATTCCCTGCGTAATTTCTGCCTCTGAGTTACAGGAAATTTCTGCAAAGCCATTTGGAGCAGATTGTAATACATTCCACTCTAACAATCAATAAAGGCAGCACTCACTGCAGAAATAATCAAACACAGGATGGAATCTAATATGCACAAAGCTGATACTTTAACTAGACCCAGGAAGCTGCATGATTCTCTGCTCAAATCTGTGGCCCAGTTTGTTTTCCTGCCTTTGTATTATATTTTTGTGTACTCTTAAAACCAACCTTTTTGAAGTACCTTATAGTGATTTTATTCTATTTTTGCTGTTCAGGGTTGCAATGAAGGTCAAATCTACATAAAAATAAGCATGCTGGCAACCAGCACAGAATTCATTATTATAGGAAGAAATGAAACAGCAAATGTGATCCTGGAGCCCCTGCCACTCCCTTAACGCCCTCCCCTTTTGAGTCCTTCAGGAAAAAAGCTAAGTGCTCATGGTCAATACCTGTCAAGCCAATCAGAGCTGCTTCTCCGGGAAGATAAACTTTTCTAATAATAAGCCATCCTGTACCATACTGAATCATTGTGGAGCAAGGGAAGGGGGCTGTGGGGACATCATTTTCATTTTATATTCTGGATTAGGAGCAAGGCGGGACATAGTAATTCTTATTCTTTCTCTTCTTGCTATGATAATACTACTTCCCCTTTCTGGAACTATTCTCCAGGTGCCATAACGATCAGATGCACATTCTGAGCTGTGAGTAAAAACCACCTGTGGAAGATGCTTAATGCATCTTAAATAACAGTGAGTCATAAACGGCAGCATCATCCCCTGCATAATACATTGGAAAAACATTGTCTCCGCCATGATTGTTTTAATGTCTAGAACATGTGAAGGAATTTGTATTATACTGTAGTAGCTAAAGAAATAGAATTTTTTCACTGTTCTATAGCTCTAGCCAGCATTCATAGGATTGGTGGGTAAAGGATTTTGGTGTTGCCTTTGAGAGAAAATTGATGTCACTATGACTTATTAAATAGACATCATTTTTCCCTGATCTTACCCATGTCCATCACTATGGACATACAATGTGTGATTGAAAAATAAAATGAATGCTTAGTTAAAAATTTTTTATTTTGGTAAAAGCACATTGCCTAAATCAATCCCCCTCAAAATATTTCCACTTGTTTTTAATATACTTCCACTTATTTTTAATTGTTCCTGTCACTTTCCGAAGCAGTTCTGAGTATTCTCTTTAGTTGTACTGTTGCGGCTGCCTCAGATGACCTGATTCTATTCAAAATGGTTGCCTTTCATTGTCATTTTTACTTTGGGGAAAAGCCAGAAGTCTCACAGGGCCTGATCTGTTGAATAAGGTAAATGAGAACACACAGTAATGTTTTTTATGAGCCGACTTTTCTGATAGATGGCATTTGGCAGCAGCATCCACTATATTTTTTATCTCACTTTGTAAAACTCATGAGGGGTATCTTCCAGAACTACTTCTTCAGAAAGTGGCAAGAATAATAAGACAAGTGTGCTGGAAGTGATGGTAAGCATTTTGAGAGGGCTTAATGGTATGGTATCTTTTACTATAACATTTTTTAATTTAAACACTCACTGTTTATGTTGATTACCCTTGTGCTCATATAACTATGGAATTCGAAAAGGGTATCAAAGTCAGAGCCCTGTGCATGTGATCTGGGGTTAAGTGAGCTCAAAAGAAAACAATAAAAGTAAAAGGAGTTACCCCTGGGACTAAACTTATGTTTAAATGTGATTTGTTCCGAGCTAGCAAAAGGCCAGTGTCACAGCAGAACTATCAAAGGCATTAAAGGCCCATGAGTGGTTAAGATGGGACTATAAATCTTTATCAGAGCTAATCAAGACTTGAATGCAACAGATTGCTACTCAGCAATCAGAAGGAATGAACTATTGATACTCAGTCTAACATTGACAAATCTCAAAATAATTATAGTCAATGAAGCCAGACAAGTGTATATACTGTATGATTCCATTTATATAAATTTCCGGAAAATGCATACTAATCTATAGTGACAGAAAGCAGATCAGTGGCTGCTAGGGCAGGGAGAAAGCAGTGGTAGAGGGGGGAGGAAGAGATAATAATAATGGGGCAGGAGGAAACTTTTTGGATTGAATCATATGTTCATTATATTAATTGTGATGCTTCATGGGTGCAGTCATATGTCAAAGCTTATCAAGTTGAACACTTTAAATACGTGCACTTTATTACATATAAAATGTACCTCAGTAAAAGCACTGTTAAAATTCAAGAATAAAAAACAAAAGGGGCTAGGAGAGTTTTCCGGGGGGAAAAATCAGCAAGTAACTGGTTATTTCTTCCAGTGTCACTTGAGGCCCTACCTAGGCTTTTATCAGCATGTAGTCCCTTCTTATTTCATCTTAGTGCCTCAAAAATAAGCTTCTGTCTTGCTGTTTTGCATTGTGGCTCTAGAAAAGGACCACAGCTAAGCCTATTTCAAAATCTAAGAACATTCTTATTTTGGGGGTGTACACTGGATGGTCAAAATTTGCAGAGAATGTTTAAACTTTTTAAAGCTTGTTACAGTAAAGGATACATTGCCTTTAATTCCCTCCAAAAAACATTTGTATCATCATTCTTGCTTTTTTCCGGAATAGTTCTGGAAGTCATATTTCATGCCTTTACCTGGTATGATACAAGAAAACATGATGAATGTTGTCGTGTCCACATTATTCACTGAATCTGGCACCATACAACTTTTGGCTCTTCCCCAAAGTCAAAATGATCCTGCAAGGTAAACATTTTTAATCAGTTCAGGAACATCAAGTTAGCTAGGACAGCTCAACTAAGGACACTCACAAAAGAACATCCTTATCTATGCATTATCTACCTACACATGTTTAACCTGCAGGGCCCAGGTTATACACTCCTGGCTTGCCTCAGTTGTATTGAGTGAAGGGGGCACTGTCTTGGGTTGCATATAAAAAACATTGAAACTAATACTTCCTTTATTTTAAAAATGTAATAGAATACAAGAAGGCCCCAGATTAGACATTCCTAAATTTCACACATTCTTAATATGTATCTTCTTTTCTGGTATTGTGTGCTTTTTGTTGGTTGCCACAGAGTTTTGGTGAAAAAAAGTTTCTCAATTCTTGGTCCTCAAATAAAACATGTAACTGATAAAAGAAATGAGCATATACCTAATTGGCTTGTTCCTCCAGTAAATACGTGGAATTTTAAAAAGATAGCTAGAAAGAGAAGGTCAGTAGCAAGCAAATACAATGGGAAGCTCTTGATGGGATTCTTGTTCCATCAAGTCAACTGCAAATAGGTTTTTATGGGACAACTGGGATACTGAGTTATAGGTGTGCGAAACATGACATCAAGGAATTCACTGAACAGGAAAGCATTTTCCTACAGTTACACAGGAAAATATCTAGAAACTCAGAGATGTCTACAGAAGTATAAGGCAAGCTAGGACTGAAGTCTAGGACTTGCTTTAAAATACTTCAGCAGAGAAAAGTGAGAGATGGAACCACTGTGGTAAAACCTGATGACCACTGAATCTAGTGATATGGCTTTCACATACAATGCTTTATATTTGAATTTCTCATAATTAAAATATTATCCCATTCTAAAGGGAAAATGTGCAATATGATTAATTAAATATCCTACAAAATCAAACAGGGAAGAGGGCAAGTGTGTGAAGCAATAATAATTTATTTTATTTAATCATTTCATAAGGTGTATATACTTCAAAACATTACATTGTATGCTGCATGTAAATGCAATTTTAACTTTTCCATTAAACCTTAATATGGCTGGAGAGATTTTAAGCAAATTTAAAAACTGGGTGAGAGGAATAATAAATCATAGTGATCATGGAAAAAGAAAGAACTGATTAGAAAATTAAAAGACGGAGCGGGAGAGGAGGGGGTAGAGAGCCACCTGAGATCTATTTTCAGAATTGACCCAGCCAGACTAATTGAAAAAGTCCCTTGCTTACCACTGGGGGAAGTGCTGTTCTCCCAGGTTTCTGTGAACTGGCTTTTCTGCGTCCCCCACCCCGAAGATGGATGGAGCTTTGCAAGGGCTCCCTTGTAAGCTGGTATATGGCTCTATCCTTTTCCAGCCTCTGCAGATCAGAAAACAGGCAGTCAGCCTCAAGTTCAGCTCCTGTCCCCAAGGAGGTTTACTTCCCAGGAGCCATTTAATTTCTGAAACACGGCAGTCTTTCCCAACATATTTGAAGTTGGAAATCAATCTCTCTCTGTTGGGGTTCTTTATTGTTTGTGGTCCTCACCCCAATAGACCGCAGACAAAAACCAGGCAACAAGAAAAAGTGGGATGACCCCAAACAAAGCTGCCCTCCACATTTACAGGGTAAACTATGACTTTTCTCAAGGCCCACAAATTATAGGGAGGAAAAGTGTGGAAAAATTCAGTTAAAAAAATACCACCCATAAAAACATGCCAGATGGGAGGGGGGGAAAATGCCTATGATTCTAGTGGCTTTCAATTGTATTTATTTAGTTCAGTCATTATGAAACAAAACCCAGAAATTCCAGGTATCTCTCCAAAACAAAGAACCACTAATGTTTGTTTCTGGTTAGTACATAAAACTTGGTTAAAACCCAGCTGTTAAACTTAGGTCCATAACGAAGGTCTTCACATGCCAAAGTTCAGATGTGACTGGCCCGCCTGCTTCATGCTTTTTTATCCAACTGTCAAACTGAGAGTCAAACTCAGAGTTACCAAGGAGTTGGAATGTGTCCAAGGGATGCTTTTCCTAACTATGTCAAGGACAAACTTCCTCCACAACAGTCAGCGTGCACATATACACACCTACACGCCTATGAACTCACACATGCATACAAGCAAAAGAAGAGAAAGAAATAATTACAGTTATTTGAACCATAAAGCTACTAAGATTTTCTAAGTGACCTGAGTCTTCCAAAGAAATCTGGATTTGGGCTTCACAATGTTATCAGCCGTCAACAGACTTTGCCTTCCTTGAAAGTGCTTCCAATTGTTTCAGGGGCAAAAGAGACTTAAATCAACAGTGGATATAGCAAAGAAAACAAACCACTTATAAACTTTCCCATACCTGCCAAAACTGGAAAGCTATAAATAGGGGGTAGCAAAAACATGGCTCAAAAATATTTCGCAGTGAGAAAACAGACGGAAAAGAGTGAATAATTTTCAAAGATGTGAATGATTGTTTTTTACAGTTAGCTCATTTTGCAACTTGGAATTTCTGTGGTCGTAAAGAAATAAGGAAAACATGATACTATGATTCCTACACCCAAAGAAAGCTTAAATGTTATCAGCTTGACCTAAGCAGTTACATTGCATGTAACGTTACTACAGTGTTCTGGCTTTGTTGTTGTTCTTATTGCTTTAGAGAAACACAGTGTTTGTTCAATATTCTAAACGTTTTTTGTGGCTTCTAAGATAGGTACTTTTCTCCCAAGAGAAAGCTTGGTTTCTCGAGGTTGCTTGGGACTCATAGTTTGTGTCTGCTGTCTAACAGCTACCATCTAATGGTGCACTTCATTGATATTTGTTCTTTGAGCATTTAACTCTTGCTAAGTGCTCACTATTGTTCTAAGGAACAGAATTCTTTGGAGGTGAATAATCTTGAGTTTGAATCCTTCCTCTGATGTTACTCACTGTGTGACCCAGAGCAAATTTTTCAACTGTCTCCCAAGGTTATTCCAGAAATGTTTAAGCAATTGAGTCAACAGGTGATAATAAATCAATTTGAAAAAAAGTCTGAGGGGATAAATAGTGTGTAGAATACTATCACTCTACATAATTTCCTCCTCTCTAAATGGAAAATTAAATGAAATAATGTATGTGATATTCTTTACACAATGTTTGTCAATAGCACATATGAAATAAGTACTATTTTTAACAATAACAGCCCTCAGATTAGAATTATGACCAATTGTTTCCTAAATTAAAAGACTTATATAAGAACTACCTATTGTATGTGGCCCAGATAGATGTACATGCGCTGGATATGTGTAGTTTTGAATATTGCTTTTTATCCTTTCTCATCCTGAGTTCTGTAAGTTTGAGCACCATGAGTGGAAGGCCTTGCTACTGTTGAAGCTTGTTGCTTTCCAAGAGGGGACTGAAAAGAGCACATGTTACTCTGGAGCCTCCAAGAAGCAGATGGAAAAATAAGATAAACATGCAAGGATTGAACAAGGGAATAGTTTGCGAGAGACAGTATGTGGGGAGCTGGTATGGATAGGAGAGCGGTCAATCTGCAATGCAAGCCATATTCTCCATCAAGAAAAGAAGGACTGAACACCCGGGTGGTCCTGCAGTCTATAAATACTTGTCCTTCGTCAGGAAGTCCTTGAGTTGCAGCCAACTGTTCAAAGAGGGAATCAGGAGCAGGTCTGCTTTAGTGTTTCTATGCAATAGTCACTGGCTGGAAAGAGTGAATTTGATGCAAACAAGAAGATGGGTCACAGATCCCAAAAGCCAGACTCAGCTTTGCTGTCCATAGCTGGAGCCTTGTGAGGTGCATTCTCACAACTGCCCCAAGATTGCTTCCAGAGACCCCCTCAGCTGCCCATAGAAGTGAAAAAGGCTGCCTGTGGGGATCAGCGTTAACCTCTCCCCAGAAGCTTTAGAAGACAGACACACACACATACATGGCTCAGACACATTTACACACACACGAACCTACATAGTCACACTATGAACACACCGCGGGAGTCCTGTGTACTCTTAAAAGCACAGAGAAATCCTTTTCACAAAAAAGAAATAATATACCCCAGGTCAGGAGACATGTGCTAGCACGGGACCACGCTACTGTGTTGAACTGTTTATTAACAGCCAGCACCTCAGAAGGTTTGCTTGCTGGATGGGGAACAAGGTTGGCTGAAAAATTAATGAGGAAGGAGATGAGGGAAAGGAAGAGGGACAGAGATTCAAAGTCAGCATCAGAAGTCTTCAATTCTCATCATAGGCCTCATTTTTAGCTTCTGCCTTTGGAGGCCCTGGAGTAACACATGCTCTTATCAGACCCTCTGGGAAAGCAGCAGGCTTCAGCAGTAAAAACCTCCACGGAATCACCCATGGTTCTCCAGAAATTACAGAACTCAAAGGAATGAAAAGCAATATTCAAAACTATACATATCCAGTACATGTACATCTATCTGGACCACACACAATGGATATTTCTTATACAAATTAAGAAACAATATGTTTCTAAATATGCTCTTTAAAAATAATAAAAGTTTTACTCTCTAAAGCAGAGAACGAGCCAGCAGAGTTCTGGTCAATACAAATTCTCAAACAGGAAACTGCATGGGTTGTTTGGGGACAGGAAATTTCCTGCAGTAGTCAAAGTAGTAAACGCTATGAAGTGGCACTAGACAGGGCAAGGAGTAGGTAGGATCTTAGAAAAGCAGCTTCCTTTGGGCCCTGGAACCCACATTAGTGAACCTATTCTCCAAGGAAGGGTCCAAACAGAGTATAAGGACCTACAAGGTGGGAGTTCAATAAAATGAGGAGCCAGGCTGAGGGAAGATACCTGGCTCCAGTGTGGATGTCTGAGGAGGACCTTGCAACTCATCCCACAATTATTTACACCAACCTATGCATCTTCCAGTCAGGCATTGCCGCTTCACTATTGGGAAAACAGATCTTCCTTGCCTACTGGAGAACGTGTTTGAATTGGAGAATTAGGCATTAATGAATAATCTGTCTAAGTATCAAATACAGGTTATCTGAAGAGAGGAGTTTAGGGGTGTCCCCAAGAGATATCATGGAGAGATTTGATCTATTCCACAAAGTCAAGGGCCCCCCAAGGAAATGCCTGCTAGCTGTGAGCTAAAGTCTCAGCCTTCGTGCTGCGTAGCAGGAAGAATGAGTTCTGCAGCCAAAGAGAGTACGGGCATGCAGTGCCACTCAGCTGGGAGGGAGATGAACAGGAGCACAGCCCGACAAGGGACCAGAGATACAGAAAGGGCCAGGCCAGTGTCTAGGCTTTTTATTCTCCTCCCAGGAGTAACTGGTGACTGTTGAAGCCTTGGATGAAGAAAACTAAACTGATGAAGCTCACTTCTTGAAAAGGAACCATTCCAGCTGCCTAGAGGAGCTGACCTGATCCAGGATGAAGACAAAAGAAGGTGGAAAAGGAGGCCCACTAAGCTGGGCTCCAGGGCCCAAAGGAAGCTGTTTTTCTAAGGTGGAATAGTTAGGGCAAAAGAGAATGGCAGTATGGGTTGGGGTAAGAGGAGAGAAATGCAGGAAAGTAGCTGGAGTGAGAATACAGTGGGAGGACAGGTTGAAATGATTTGGAAATGACTTCGATGTGGATTAAGATAGGTCTGACTCCCAGGTTCCTGGCATGTATTTGTACATCTGGCTGGGTGGAAAGGCGCACAGTGACAAGAACACTGAAGGAGGACCAGATTTGGCACGGAGGTGGGAAATATCCCTTTGGAACTTCAAAAGGAAATATTCAGTTGGCAGTGTCACACTGGCCCTAGATTGTGACATCCAGGGTGAAAAGGCAGTCTTTGCTGCACTCCATTGCACCATCTCTAGGATGCTTTTTGTGTGACAGAGCAGATAGCCTGGAGAAGAGAGTCCGGGCCATGAGAGTGCTTGTGAATCCTGGCTTCTTTCCAGGGTGGTTGGAGCAACTTTCTCTCGTGGATACTTCAGTTAGGCTGTTCAAGAATTACTCATACTGAGTAAAGAGTCCTCGAAAGAACCTAGTTAAAAATTCAGAGGGGACCTACAATACTGCTCATGAGCCCTTGACCAAAAGGAAGTTGAGTTATGAGGCCCAATATTTGTTATTTGTTCTTCATATGTAGGTTTAAGGTACATGCTCTCTTAAACTGGCAAAATGATACAAATTTAAGATTTCATTGAAAGTCTTTTACTTTTGGCTATGTGCAGAGAGAAATGAATTATTTTCATCAGGCATAGTATTCTTTTTGGGGGAGTACCTGGAACTGAACTCAGGACCTTGCACTTTCCAGGTAGGCTCTGTGCCACTGAGCTATATCTCCAGCCCACTTGACATAATATTCTTTTGTCTTGGTTAATGGCTTGCTATTATAGTGTTTGTTGAGCATCTTTGAGTTAGGCAAGAATGAAAGCTAAAGAACTAATGTTACCTATTGTGTATTGAGCACATCTAATGAGGTAGATGTTGTATTAGCATTTTATAAGATATAATCTCCCAGTATTCCACAACAGGGCAAAACAATATTATCATTCTCATTTTGTAAGTGAATAAACTGAAGCTCAGTGATATTTCTTCTCAAAGCAAAAAGAGCTGGAAAATGTTGGCCAGGATTTGGACTTAAGTTAAAAATCTCTAAATCTATAAAACACTTCTTTCAGGTTTCCATTTTGGTCCCTTTCTCTGTGCAAAAATATGATTTGAACTGTGTCACAAACTAGGTATATGATTTTGGACAATATAACTCTCTGGGCTTGAGTTTCTTCATTTGTAAAATGAAGAGACAGAGCTGAAAGAAATTTGAGCCTCAAGATTATTCTATTGCTGTTTATATAGACAAAAAAAATTCCCCTTTGTTACACTGTATCAGTGGAGTTTCAGAAGAAATTCAAGTTATTTAGGAGAAATAATTTTTTTAAAAAAAGAAATAGCTTTAATGCACAGATATAGGTGTGTATAGAGTTGGATAGAAGGGCTAGAGGAGAAGGTATGGGGTTGATTTGTCGGGAATGACTCCCCAAATAGTTAGCAACTTGGAGTAGGGAACATCACGCTACAGGAGTGTGTTAAGCAGAACCATGATGAACTTGAGGTACAACAGACCTGGGTAACAACTCTATCTTCCCCACTTATGATTTAGGCAACATATGTAATCTCTCTGAGACTTAATTTCTTCAGCTATAAAATCAAATAATAAATGCAAAAATGCCTAGGATGACATTTAGCACATAAAGTCGTTATCTTCCCACCTGTAGATATAGATACATGCTTATTTAAGTACAGATAAAAATATATAGATGCTAGAAGGATGAGAAATAAGGATAAGAAAGTAAGATAGAACAAAAAAATAGAATTTTCCTTTAAAAAATGCAGGTAAACAAACTTGAGTTTTGTTTACGCAAATAGGCGTTACTAGCAGATATTTTTGGATAAGGGAACAACATGAGAAATTTGACACTTTGGAAAATAAATGTTACAAATATATTCGAGAAGCAAGTTGTTTTCATAATAGTTAGTAAGAGAAGATGCCTCTGCCAGCTTCTTTAAAAGAATTTTTTTCCAATTTCATGGAAAATATCCTTTGGCAAGCCACAGGAGCAGACTGTAATCCTCATTTAGAGTGAAATGTTTAATTGAAACAATGCCTCCCCCAGTTAAGCTTGGAAGTAGATTTTATGCTCCTTAATAGATACAGAATGGTGGGACTCAGAGTCAGTCCCCTTGAGTCACAGGCAGATGGGCCAAGAAACAGATATGGAGGTTACGGTAAGACAGAGCTGACCTAACTTCATCATGATTGTGTCCCCAAAAGGTACACGCCTGGGATAACAGCCAGAGAGTAGAAAAACATATCAACCCAGAGGTCTAGAGACTTCTCATTCCTCAACATTCAGTACTCTGGGCACAAAATTAGCAAAGGTTATCCAGTGTGCTCTGGAATTAGTTTAATGCTGAGAAATCTCGAAATCACTGTGTAACATGGCATCTTTAAAATCATTAAGGATCTCAAGTGACTACAATTCAAGTGACCTCTGATATAGAAAAAAATTTGTAATTTTTTTTTTATGACATGAAAATTTAGAACTAACATCTACCTTGGAGATGTATAGAAGTTGTTTAAAGTAGATGCTCAAGAGGTTGAGTGAATGGATCGTCTATAGCAAAGTCCTCATTTTTTCAGTAATATAACTAAAGCTCAGAAGATTAAGCAACTAACCTAAGATTATCAAATAGAGAATGGGAGAACTAGGTCCGGAACAAGTCTCCTTGCAATTTAGTGTTTTATTTTATATTCTGTTGCCTTATACCTCTGTTCTTGAAGAAAATAGATGTACATGCATCATGATGTTGTATATTGAGAAATGTTTAGTCAACCTATACGATAGGATTAAAACACACCACTATAGTTACCTTTCTGTGTTTTGAGATTCTTGTGACCCAGAGGTCTCTATGGTAACATTTCAGAAGGGAAATATCGCCTGTGTGATACACCTAACTGATTTATACTAAGAACATGGCTTGTACAGCCAAACCAAAGGCCAAGTTCCAGGGCAGAGCTTCCTCACTATGCACAGATTTCTTCTGAACCTTAAGGACCTTTGGAAGTATTAACTAACCATATAATTTCAAAACATAAACACCAATGAGACACGTGAGGTCATGAAATTCACTGATAAACCTTACATATTATATAAAGATTCAGTAAAAGAAGGCATGAAAGAAAGGAAGCAAGAAAGAGAGGCTGGAAGAAGGACAAGAGGAAAAGGAGAATAAATAGATGCATTATGTCAGTGAAACCATCATTTCTCACACCACTCCAGGAATCTGAAAGCTGGCCTCAAATTTAGGAGTTTTAGAGCTATTTTAACTTTCTTTCCACAGTTTTTGAGCATCTAACCTTGTCACCAATTCCTGCAGGAAATTTTTATTCATTTAACTCAGTGATGAATGTTGACCAAGACCAACGCTCTTGTCTCCCATGTAGGTAAAGACTGAATCATGTAAGGCAGAGGAAGAAAGCCCACCACTGCTAAGAATAAAAAGACTCCTCAGGCCACCAAAGCAGCTGCTCCTCATAAGTGGCAGCACGACGCTGCCTTTCTCACTGGGGCCACACATGCTTTAGGGAGGATGCTCCATTGCAGTCCTATCAAGCAATGGCTCCTCGCATGAACCACGGAGACAACTGTTCGTACTTACTATGTCAGTGTCTTTTTAGGTCTCCGAGTCTCTTCAGTATTCCAAGAATTTCTGAGCTTTTCAGCAGAAGGTATGAAATAAAGAGAGGAATCAATGCTTTGGTGGGAAAACTTTGGAGAAGCAGCTGTTTTATACTGAATCTCTCTGGCGTAAACAAATTGTTGTGTAAATAAGAAAAAAAAGGAGGAATAGTTTACTCCATTTTGTGAGGCTTGTATGATCTTGAAACTGAAACTATTATAAGAATACAAAATTATTTATAGGCTAATTTCACTTAGGAACTTGAAAGTGAAAATTCTAATTGGTAGACATGAACTATAATGATTGAATTTTATTTTAAATATTTAGATGTAATTTCCTGTAAAGTTAGGAATAAGACAAGAATTCCTTGGTATCA